GGTAGAAAATGCCTATGGTTTGATGGCCACCAAACCTCCAGCCTTGTCACTCCAACATTGCAAAAAAAAAAAAAAAAAAGCCAAAATAGTTGCAAGTTTGCCTGCCACCTAAGGAACTGTAACTTTTTGCCAATAACCCAGGTTGGTTTCTAGGCTCTAACTTTGCCCAATATCGGGACGTGCCCTAGGTGAAATGTGATTTATATTCTCAGTATCAATTCATCATTCCTTCTAGGGCTTCAATCAGTTCCCTTCACTGGCCTTCTGCCTCCTTCTCCTGGTGGGTTTTGTTTTCTAAGCACAACAAGACTGGTTGGCCTCTTTGTGTTCCTATGAAAATGTGTTGTGAATGCACACTTCATTCAGGACAAAATTAGGGACTAGTGCTTTGACCTCTCCCTAAAGAAGAATGCGTGGGTCACAGAGTTGGCCAGCATTGTCATGAGCATAGCCATCTGCCAGGCTCGTGACCCCACTGTGGTCCGTTATAAACTCATCATCTTCTCATGGTAGTAGAGTGAGCCTGCATTCCTAATTTCTTGTATCATCTGGCCATCTCAATGAAGCCTCCTGAATGAAGTGTGCATTATTAATTCAGACGGTCAAGGAAAGTATGTGAATCTGGGCTGCTGTAAACCTTAAATGAGTTAAGTCAAAGGAATTGAACTGGTGGGTAACTTAAACTATAGCTTAAATTGCTCAGCCAGTTTCATCTTCCAAATCTGCTACTAATGGAATCATTTCTGATGTTATTCACCTTTTCTTGAAATATCCTAATATGAGTCAGTTCTCATAAAAATCTATAAGATGCATACGTTAATTACACAGCAAAAAGAGTATTTTTTATGTCAAAAAATAAAATTGGAAGAACCATTTAAAGTCTTCTGCCCCACCTCAATAAATTATTAGTCATTCCCCTATACCAACAAATTCCCTAGGTACCTTGTGAAGTGAGGGGTTCGTTTATTTAATTTATAATGAATTAATAAATGAACGAGAAGTGAATTCTGCCCCTTCACTGCTGCTTTTCTTCTCTCACTCCTTCTTACCCAAAGTTATCCTTCATTTAAGCGTCTCAGAAGAGAACCTAAGATTGAAATTGGGTCTTGATGTGGCAGACTGAGAGGGTGCAAGAAGTGGTATGTGAAAAGCGTTGAGGAGGCATGCCTGATTGTTGGTGCTTTGACCAATGCCTCGCAGCAATGGCTATTAGTGCTCCATTCTCACTGGAAGTTTTGAATGTGGCTAATGCAATAATCTAATTAAGAACTGATTTAAGTGACTCTGTAGAAAGCACAACTTTTGATTGGATTGGTGAGTTTCTATTAATTATAGTCAACTACTAATGGTATTAGGGCTATTTAGGTAATGGCGGAGACTTTCTCTCACTTATGGGTAGTAACAGAATTCCAGAAGGCATTATTTTCTATTTCAGAATGTAAGGTGAGATTGTTCCAAGAGTGGGCACCTCTGTATCCCCAGGGTTTCTGTCCAGTGAATCCCCTGCCATTTTAGCATGAGTAGTTGGCTTCCAGTTCAAGTCTAATTCTTCTGAAAAAAGACTGTTGTTTTACACTCTCTTGGCATTACAGACTTTCTCCTGCTGTTGACTTCAGAGTTTCACTGAAAGCATCTCTGTGAAACCGGCAATTCATTGAATACCAAGGGCTGTTTAAGTTCATTCCTAACACATCGGCTGCTTGTGTGATATGTATTCATTCTTTCTCTCTTTCCTGTCTCATACATATATATACATATGTGCGTGTGTATACCTTCAGAGACTCATTTTAATTAAAATATGAATCTGCTCTTTTCTTCTTAGAAAGACTTGCCTCCATCAATTTTCCTGGTCTGTGCGTTTTGGGTTCCTCACAGTCAGTAAGAAGGTAACACAGAGACCAAACCTTAGAGAAGGCAATGTGCTTCCTTGAGAAGGCTGTTACTTCTGCAAAAAGTGATTGCAGACTTCAGTAAAATTATATGGGGGAGAATAAAACACCCCATTAACATAGAGTCAGGTTAATCCCTTTATGAGCTCCATTTAATTAATTATTAAAGGCTAAGACATTTAGAGAAAATTTTAACAGCATTCTACTAAGGTCAAAGTGGCTAAGATTTGAGTTTAAATGGATTTATCTATTATGTTGTTTCAAGAACTCTGTCTTCCATTTTGGGAGGTAAACTGAGACGTAAGGTGGAGAGGCCTGGACTAAGAGTCAGGAGACTTACTTCGTATTCCTCTCCTTCTAGTAACTGGCTCTATGACTTCAAATATGGCACTTACTTCCCATAAATAAGGAGATAAAATACCATTTTCTAAATTGGTTGTGAGAAATCCATAAACTATGAGAGCGGCTGACACAGCGAAGACCTGACTCGCTGTAGATGTCCAGTGAACATTTGGTTCAATATCTATGTCTTTTCTAAGAGAGGTTATTCAAGAAGTTTCTGTGAGCCCGGAAGTTTCACAAGATACCAACAGTCATGATTTGTGAGCACTGGTCCAGAATATTCCTTTTTAGCAGGCGGAAGGTTATCAGACCTGAACTAGAAGATTGGGGCTTTAGTTCTAATCTGTACTTCATTAGTTGCATGACTTTGGGGCAAATCACATAACCTTTCTTGAGCATTTAGTATCCTCACCTGGACTATAAGCGTCGTATTGCAGTCTGGTGTAGCATGGATTCTGAGTGAGACTGCTTCAATTTGAACCTCAGCTCTACAACTTACTAAATGGTTACCTTGGGCAGGTTACTGAAACTCCTCTGTGCATGTTTCCTTATCTATAAAATAAGCGTAATGATAATGGGCCCTCATAAGATCTTCAAGATGCTGACATGAATCACCATCTGGAAAATGTGCTAGCACAGTGCTTGCCACATGATCTGTGCTCAATAAGCGTTAACTGGAATAATTCAATTCTTCCTACACCTCACTTGAATAAAATCACCATTTGTGAAAACTGGAATGCTGAGTACACTGATCATACAATGTTCGTGCCACAGTTCTCTAAATAAAAAGAAAATCTGTCTAACGCTCGCAGTTTTATTTTACCTGAATATTTTTTCTCTCTTTTTTCTTTCCTCTAATTTTTCTTTGTGGCAGAGCAGCAGCAACAACAACAATAACTACAACTACAGACTAGGCCAAACTGCCAGAAACCAAAGGTGGGAATGAGCACCCCTCCTCCCCAGTTCTCTACTGTGCCCTCCTTTTCTTTGGCAGGCATGCTTCACACATTTCCTTGGGAGCCTTAGAGCTGTGAGCACAGTAGTTTTCCTGAAACCCAAGGCAGAAGGTTACTGCTTCCCTTATGGCAGGCTCATGTTCTCAGGGCATCAAGCATTTCTTCATTAAAGTAGAGAAAGACAGCCTTTTCCTTCCTGTTTCAGCAGCTCCCACCCCCAGTGTCAGACCCAGTCAAGACAAGTGGAGCTGCTGCATGGAGTGAGTCTCCGTGAGCCATCGTGAGGGTGCTCAAAGTGCCTTTCAGAGAACAAAGCTCTGGACTGGGCTGTGGCATCAGCTGTGACTCTTTCCTGACAAATTGTGATATTGCATGAAACAAGAATGTATGCCTGCAGAGTGTGATACAGTCACAAAGTTCAAAGGTTGAGGGAAAGTTGCCATTTTCCTTCCAGTTTACTACTGAAAGGTCTGAATCTTTGTTAGAGTTACTGGTATCTTGGCTTTGTCCACATACCTAGGTGTTTGAGTGCATATGCCAGTGCTCACTGTGTTGGTTTGAACTTATCGTTGTTCTGTCACTCTCTGGCTGTCTGATTTTGAGCATTTGGTTAATGTCTTTGATCCTCAAATTTCTCATGTGTATAATGGGAGTAGTCGTGCCTGTCCTGCCCACTTGGTCAGAAAAAAATCTCAACTCCGTATATGTAAAACCTTGGGGTCTCAGAGCTGAGTAGGGAGCTAACATGTTATCTAATGCAGGCTTTGTCTGCTGCAGGTGACCATCCCTTCACCAACATGCTGGACAAAGGGTCCTCCGGCCTCAGACTGAACTCTGCCTGGCTGGGGAGCTGCCTTCCTCAGGAGCTCTGATTTTCAGAAGATTCTTCCTTGTGCTGGGATGAAATCTGAACCCTTCAGTATCTTTCACCTGCTCGTTTCTGTTTCACTTCTGGATCCAAGACTACATTTCATCCCAAAGGTGTTCCATATATTGAGGATTACTGTAAAATAAAATACTGTCATGTTTTTTTGTTGTTTTTTGTTTTTTGTTTTTTAAACTGGTTATTGAGTCATCTTCTCAGCCCACTTGCCTGCTTTGCCTTGGGGATTCTGATCTAGATTGACCGCATGGAAAAGAACATGCTGCCAGGTGTTCCTGAACGTTCTCAAGAGTCATTGTGGCATCACTTAGGAAACTATCTCTGAGGATCCCTGGAGGCAGGTGTAATTATTACTAAAGGCAGGTGTTCCCACTCATAGTACATGTGCCCAAATCCTAGAGCCATAATTGGAAAAGCATGTTTCTTAATGTGCTTTAAATTATTTTACTTAAATTGGAAGTAATCTTCCCCCATCACCTGGAATTATTTTTTTATTCCGAACAATAATAGAAATATATCAAATTTTAGTAAAATAACAAGAGGCCTGTAAAAAATCTAAAGAATGTAATTAAAATTATTTGTAACCTATCTATACGTAAAAAAGTAAAATCATATTTTTACACCTTCTACTTTGGTTGTTCCCACATACATGATTGTGTGTTTATGTGTAACTGTTGAAATTATGCAACAGGTGCTTCTGCAGTTCAGCATTTTGCTCTCTTCTTGAACATTTTATTGTCTTTTTCATGTCATTACCAATTTTTTGTGTCTTATCCTAATGGTTGAAACATAATATTCTATTGAATGAATCCACTATAACTTACTTAATGAACCCCTTATTGTAATCCCTGATTTGTAGCCAGTTTTCAGGAGCTCCAGAGCTCTTCTCCTTGAGACATGGGACTATGGGAGAAGGCAACCCCTCTAGATTCCCACAGCAGGATTTTCTTTTCCAAACACTGTGGTAATTCTTTTACCACTTTCTTCTTTTCCTAAGTGGGCAAAGTGAACAGGACATGTGGATGAGATTCTATTAGATCTCAAAAACTGAAAAAAAACAAGTGGATTTGTGTGTGTGTGTGTGTGTGTGTGTGTGTGTGTGTGTGTGTGTCTGAGCACTTCACGAATTCATATTTCAAATCCTATACTAGTGATTTCTGTGATCAATAAGAGGCATGGGTTTATTTTATTTACTGTTGTAAGTTGGGCCTACAAAGATCTTGAGCTGCCTCTTTCTTCTGACATCAAGGATTTTCCTTGATCAAGGAAATTCAAGTGTCAGGAAATTACTGTCCTTCATTTGCCAGGAAGAAGACATTTAATGCACTTGAATCCAGAGCTGGAAATCAAAATCCTGGGTATGTCTCCCATTAACATAACTTGGATCTCCCTTGTTTGGTAGAGCATAGCTCTGACAATATGAAGGCTCTACTCTCATACAATCAGATCAACCATCTGGGGTAATTGTTAATGGGGCAATATTACCACTCTCTGCAGACTTACAGAACCAATCACCAAAATAGGGGACTAGAAATCTATAGTTTTTACAGTTCCCCAAATGAATTTTGTCAGGTAAATTTAAGAACTGGATGACCCAAGCACAATAAAGTACTTCCAGTTCCTCGAAAGCCTGAATACAATTGCTCTACCTTGTCCCCAAACCAGTTTTTTTCCAAGGAATCTTAGTGTCCTAGATGTCAGGCTTTACTTAAAGAACAATTTCATCTTTGATGATCAAACTCACATCGTTGGAAAGGAGTTCCTTCATAAATATGTGGCAAGGCTGATGGGACGAACTTTTCCAATACAGAAGTGATCATTTTTGGAAGAAGCATTCTACATCTCGCCAAAGGTGCTGCTACAAATAGAGAACCAACTGCATTCCTCTACCCTTGTAGAATGGATAAAAACTCTATTGTCGCCTATGGGGCCTGGCTGATTTGAGGCAGTAGCATATGGTTGACTGTTAAAACAAATCAAAATAAAACTAAACAGAAACTCTGGTTGCTTAGCCCCAGAATTCTCAGAAGCCAATACAAAAGGTTAAGCCTGGACATAGCCTCACTCCATCTGTGCTTCATCTCCCGCCCAGAGAAACGTTAGCCTCAGGGAGCCCGGTGTGCTGGCATGCTTCCAACACACTGTCCAGACTTCCCTGATGTCACACATCTCTGTTTGTGCAGATGAGAAACTGCTAATCGTATATTTCACGTGCCTATTAGGAAGGCTGAAAAATCACCTACCAAGGTGACCCCCTGGTCCCAGTAGTGAGGGTGCCCGTACCTGGTGGGCAGGTCCCCCTGGTGAGGGGCTGATGTACAAAGAGGTGAAAGTTCTTCCCTTTCCCATGGTATAATTTCAATAACTAGAGAAACGTGATCTTTAAATGTCTAAGTTTGGTCCTAATACAGATGAAAATAATAAATAAGAATTCTTATGAAAAAGCAGGGAAAGGAGATAGTGTGGGAGTAGGAGTGGGAGAGAGGTATGATCAGTCTTCTCTACTCTTCACATTTTAAAACATTCACAAGTATGGTCATCCTGAATCTGGAAGTGTGGCCTGCTTGAAATAACGATAGCTTCCCTTTGCTTTGTTGGGTCACCTGCAAGAGGCATTCATGTTTTCTTTTGAATTTTGTGGATGGGAGTTATAGGTACCTGGCTTCCAGCAGAGCTGGAACCACAGCAAAGTGAGGGCATCCCTCCACTGAAGTGCTATCCCCTTCAAAAGGTGCAGGACCTCAGAGTCACTTGCCAGGTGCGTATGGTTCCTGGAGTATTATGGAAGTGAGAAGAAGATTTCTTAGGCACATGCCCAGTTCTCCCATGGCAGAGGAGGGCAGCAGAAACGGCCCCTCTGAGTTAGCTCTGATCATGCTGGGTCCATGAGACGCTTTACAAAAGCAGCTGGCCACTCCTAGCATCTGGGTGTCAGTCAAGCCCGGAGGGTTAAATATCTTAAAAACCCCTTCAGTAAAGGATGTGAGTACTGAAGAGATGGCAGGCTCCCTCGGTGCCCCGGACCAGGACTTGATGGGACAGGTATATGTTCTAAGTAAGAGCAGAGTCATGGATCACAACCAGAGCACGCACAGTCAGCACAGGGCAGACAAAATGGGCCCAAAAAGTAGGACAGGAGCCAGAGGGACACCAATTCCAGAGGCAGAGCAAAGTAAGTGGTCGTAAGTCTCACAAAAAGCAAATAACTGTAAAAAGTCAAAAGGGCTGGTCTGGCAAGCAGGATGGGGCCGGGAATAGGCGGTCTCTTTCAACCTGAATATCTATTTGTTTTATTCCAGGAGCCTTTGTTTCTCATAAGGCAGGAGTAACATTTGGACCTTAGGGCCCATTTGGGCCTTATGTGTGATATTAAATAAAATCATCCATGAGGAATGAGAACTGACAGGGGGCATTTGTCTCCCCTCTCCTAAAGGAAGCACAGCTTGGCATTCTCCCTGCTGGGAGCCCCACAGATGATGGCAGAGCAGACTGCTGTCTCCTTGGAGTCTCTGCGCTTAGCTTCTTTATGTTTGTGACCACAGTGACCCAGTGCCCCTCACAAGTGGGAGCCTTTCAGTAAAGTTCTGCTCAGTGGATGCTGGGTCTGTTCCTCTGCCCTTCTGGGAAGTGCTTGGAAATGAAATGGAAGAACTGGGGCATCAGGAAGTTCTCAGCAGAGAGACCAGACCCATTTCCAAAGAGCACTGACACATTGCTACAGCCTGTATTTATATTCATCTGTCTTTCTGTCTGTCTGTCCGTGTCTGTCTGTCTGTCTGTCTACCTATCTATCTATCTATCAATCTATCATCTATCACCTATCTAGGTCTATATGCATGTACATATATATTATTTACTCTTCTACTTTTCCTTTCTTTACCTTTCTTCTTCCCAAATATATATTTTTATTTTTCAATTACAGTTGACATTTAACATTATATTAGTTTCAGGTATACAGCATAGAAGTTAGACATTTATATAACTTATGAACTGTTCCTCCTATAAGTCTAGCACTCACCTGACACCATATAGAGTTTTTATAATAGTATTTACTATATTCCCTATTCGCTTTGCCGTCCTTCTCATTATTTTTTTTGGGGGGGGGCGGGGGGGAGACTCTATAAATGGCAACATAACAAATATTTTTTCATACTGTCTTATAAACTTTTCACTGCATTTGTTTTCTTTTGTGACTGTTGATATGATCCAAGAATTAAATCACTTCACCGATTGATTGCCCACTAGAAGCTGAACATTTGTTTGGGGCAGCCCCTTGGAAGCCATATAACTCAGGCCCATGATGGTAAAACTGTCAGTGGCTCAGTGTGATTACATTCCAGGTTATAGTGCATCACTCATGATAGTCTAAAGCTCATCACATTGTACGGCTGCTCAGTAAATACGGTAGAGAAGATGAGCTTCCTCTCGGTCCCTCTCTTTCCCCGCAGTGCTAACTCCAATCTTGTCAGATGAGTTTGTTTTAAGGGCTGGTGGCTATCATGTTGGAAAATTTTCTATTGATGGAGCCTCGGTAGCAGAAATTTTGCAGATAGAACTTCTTGTTGCCCTGAATGTTTAGGAAGAATTTCAGTTTATCATTTGTTTGGTGCCCCTTTAAAAGTCTAGAAACCCTCTTTTTAGGACTTAGGCAATTGTCTCTATGATATCCTGACGTGTCTTCCAGTTATTCCACTCTACTTGTTGAAAAGACTATCCTTTTTCCCCTGAACTGCCTTTGCTCCTTTGTCAAAGTTCAGTTGACCATATTTATGGGGATCAATTTCTGGACTCTGTTTTTTCCATTGATCTATCTGTCTATTTTTTGCCAGTACCGCACTGCCTTGATTACAGTAGCCTTATATTAAGTTTTGAAGTCAAGTAGTGTCAGTCCTACAACTTTGTTCTCTTTCAATATTGTGTTGGCTATTCTGGGTCTCTTGCCTCTCCATATAAACTTGAGAATGAATTTGTTGATATCCATAAAATAACATGCTGAGATTTTGAATGGGATTGAATTGAATCTATAGATCAAATTGGGAAGAACTGACAACTGAACATTACTGAGTATTCCTATCAATAAACATGGAATATCTATCAATTTATTTAGTTCTTCTCTGATTTATTTCTT